GTTTGATGGAGGTTCAAAGCTAAAAGGAGATTGAAGATTCTGAATCCAGACAACTTTGTGTGTCTCCTTCTGTCCATCTCATCTGGGAAAGATGAGTCAGCATGAGTGAGATTTAACCAAATGCATTTGAGAAATGATGAGCCAAACCAAAAATGTTGGGAAGCGATTAGTCCCAGATACTCAATAAATAGTTGTTGAACAGATGAATTAATCAAATTTTGAATTCACTTTAATAACTTTCAAATTCAGCATGTAAAATAAGATGAAGAAAAAGAGGGAAAAAACCTTTAAACTTTCAGTTAGTTTTTCTACTTCTTTTTTTTTCTGAAATAGCTAATGGGTCACTCCCAAAAAATATTACAGGATAATACCAAATGGACTTTCACCTCTATGCATTATGCAACAGATTTTTGCAACTTTATTATTTAAAGCCAAAATGAGCTTATAGTCCAACATATTTAATCTTGTTATTTATTTCCCAATATCCTTTTCAAGCTATCCTTTAAAGTCATTCTTCATACTTTAGTTTATTTAAGATGAAGCAATTTATTTTACTAATGATATAAAGATTTTTTAATCCCATATCAGTGGTTTAGGAAAAAAAAACATTTCTTCTACTATGTTCCAACAGTTTCTATAATTGCATCTAAAATCATAACTAGTAATCACATTGGCTGTTTAAGGAGTGTCATTAGGTGACAGACACCTTGAAAGTGCTATTCCAAATAAAAATGACCCTACTAAGTAAATGTTCTTGATCAATTGTATTATAAAGCTCAAAGTCAGGTCCATTTGTCAGTGAAACTTGTATGTTTTCTACAACATCATTCTCTGTCGAGATTTTACCCTCATCGTTTTTATTTCATCTAAATGTTGACATGAACCCATAGCTGATATGTTGCCCTTTGTTACTTGTTCTAAGAATCTCTTACTTTACTTGTCTTCATACTCCAGAATACCATTTTTATCTTCATGCTTAAAGGACCCATTGATTATCCTACCCTCTCAAATTTAAATAAAATAGGTTCACAGAGTAGATTAAGTTACAAACATTCAAAATTATGTGTGTATCATTTATAGTAACATACCTTGATAGAAACATGCTGGAGTTTGGGCCAAGGAAAGGATATTATTATCCCAGCTTTGTGGAATTTTAATTTAGACAACTATTATTTTTAAAGTGCTACCAAGATTCAAGAAGTAACTGTATACAAGGGGTCTTCAAAAAGTTCATGGAAAGATTCATATTATCTTTTAATTCCATTTTCCACAAACTTTTGAAGTAGCCTCATACATAAATTTTATCAGTCGAGAGCTAGAGCTGTATACAATGATAAAAATTTTTACCTAGTAGAATTTTTATAAAACAAAATGTTAAAGAGTTTTTTTATTTGTTAAACAATGATGACCAAACTAAAAACTTCTAAATAAAAGTGATTGCCTTCCCGACTCAATCTCCTCCTCCCTCAAATAATAGGAGGTATTTTTGGTCTGGCCTATTGAACTTTGTGATAGGGAACTTCTATCCTACAGTAAAAATGTATTGTTCTATCTGCAAAGAAAAAATTGATCTTATTAATGTTCTTACCTATTCTTTTTTTATATGAACATTTTAGGTGTATCAATATATGCATGAAACGATAACTGTTAATGGCTGTCCTGAATTCCGTGCGAGGGCCACAGCAAAGGTAAGCTTTGAGTAACTTTAAAAATATACTTGACCCCAGTGATCTAGTAATTGATTGTGCGCGTGTGTGTTTCAGGTATTCTCGTGTGTACACTGTAAGAGAATTTAGACATCAGTGGCAGCCCAGAGTCTAGAACCAGTACTACTTCCCAGGTAAAAATCCTAATGGAAAATTGAACGTTTCTGCTGCTTCTGTAGCTTAAGAAAGGAGAATGATTTCATGAAACTCACTAGATGTCCATTTGGCACAAGCAAATCTACTGGTTCATTTTATAAAATGCTGCATGGTTTTCTGACACATTCCTTTGATCCGTAAGAGACTGTATCCTATTCAGTGCATGGAGATTTATTTGCACAGGTCTAAAGACTTGATTTCAGTTGAACATGAAAAGAACTCACCTGACACCCACTGACCTGGGTTTCTTTGTATTCAGTTGAGCAGTGGGTAACTTGCTGAAAGAAGGTAGCATTGACCTAATGGAAGGCCTCTCACGTTTTCTGGTAGTGGCCACATTTATTCTCCAAAAATTCAAATCTAGAGATTGCAGAGACCCTACTAATGAATATATTACAACAATAGGATCATGAAACTTTCTAGAAAATAGACCATTAGGAAACAGTAGTTTTAAACTAAAATCACTGATGCAGTTCTTATTTTAAAATATAGAAATGTTATGATAGAAATATGACTTGCTTTTTAAAAGCTTTTATCTTTCTAATAATGTACAAGAAGTAAGAACCAGTGAAAATAATCAGAATTTTCATTTATTTCTTTTATGTTATATTACCTCTTGTTTGGTTTTCTCTCCTGATTTTTTAGTAGTCATTCTGTTACTGAACACTGTTGATTTGTTTTTTTGTTTTTTTCATCTTTTGTTTTTAACCCAGGCAAAAAGAGGATATTATTATCATTACATCATGCTTTGCTTGTACTGAAGTGGAACACACAGAGAAAAATGATCCCTACATGGTTTAATTAAGGGCAAAGTGAATTACGTAGTGTTTTACCATTCTCATTTCTTATTCATGTAGAACAGCAGGATAGCAGCATAATGTTGCAATAGCACAATATTTTCTGGTTGTTTCTGGGCTGTCTGCATTGCATCCATGTCAGCCATTAAAACCTATGCATGACAGTAAGATTTGCATGAGCAAATGCATGTAGCTAAAAACCAGCCATTATTTCCATATCATTCACTATCTTTCACTAAATGCAGACAGTAGCATAATGCTAAATTGATGTGATAATGCTGCGTGTGGAAAAGAATGCACAGTAGTTGGGAATCAATAGTTTCACATTGTTGAGCAAGTCACTTCATAGTAGGCATCTAATCAACTGTGGTTAAGGCAGGATAAAGGAGGGGGAAAATAAGAAGCAGGCAGAGAATCTTGTCTTGATAGAAACTATTTAAAAGCTATTAGTTTATTTCTATGGGGGGTAGGAACTAATGGTAAGTTGTTTTCTTGGACTTAAAGAAACTAATATATGAATTTTAAAATAAAATTATGTCCATTTTAAGTGATGTTTTGTGCATCTACGTATAAAACCGTGGACTGTTTATTTTGCTTATGTTGCTACAGTAGTTGAAATGTTAATGTAAAATAAATGTAGGCAGAAAAAATCCTGTGCCAGATAAGAGGATCTCCCATAATATGGGATATTACTATGAAATAATAATCTATTTAAATCTATTATATTATTTTATTTTGGCTTTTAAGTATCCTCAATATAAAAAAAAAAATTAAATTTGCTAAGCCAATAGTCTAATAATAAGATTATATATGTATTCACAAGTATATACCTATATAAGTGCTCTTCAATTTACTGAATAAATATTTATCAACATTTATGTGCAAGCACTGAGTTAAACTGTGTGTTATACAGAAAGTATAAGACACATCTCTTCCTTTAAGGTGCTCATAATCAAGCAAAATGTAGAAAATATGTATGAAATGTAGAAAATAATCATAATACTGGGTAGTCTGTGTACCAGAGCTACTTGGAGTCCAGAAATAGGAGGAATTGGAGCTAACCAAAGCAACTGGCAAAGATTTTTATGAAGAAGAGAAATTTATCATAGTGGATAAGCTCTAGAAAGCTGGAAATAACTGGGCAGCACTTTAGTAAAGAAAGGAATCAGATGGCATCTAAATGCAGAGGCCCTTCCCTTTTGTGTTCTTTCTTTCACAGGAGAATGTTATAAAAATATGAGAAGTTGCCTGAGCTACCCATTGCAAAGCATATGATTAGCCTCATTTTTCTCGTTTTATTACCAAAAGACCATCTTTTCTTTCAGGCAACAGTTGCAGCTTTTGCAGCTAGTGAAGGCCACTCCCACCCTCGGGTAGTCGAACTGCCAAAGACTGATGAAGGCCTTGGTTTTAACGTGATGGGAGGAAAGGAGCAAAATTCCCCTATTTATATCTCTCGCATCATTCCTGGAGGTGTGGCTGAAAGACACGGAGGCCTCAAAAGAGGAGACCAGCTGCTATCAGTGAACGGAGTGGTATGTTCATAAAATAACCAGAGATTTTCAACCTAGGCACATTTTTTTCCTGTTTACTGAAATCAGTGTTGAAATCCTAGAACAAATCATAATTTTGTGCCCAACAAACATTGATGGGTATTAAACCTATAAAAGCTATCATTTTATTTTTTTATGTCTCATCTCATCTTGTTCAGGTATGATAAATATTAGCTTAGTTGAAAAGTCATCCTAAGAAATTATTTCAACAAGTAGAATTTTCTCTCATAATGCTTTAATTGAATTAAGGTATAGAGGAACATAATAATTTCAAGGCACTTTTTATTCTAAGTTACTATAAGCAAATACACATATTTTTAAAATAAGATAAAACTAAAACTCATCACCTTTTAGTGCATTGAAATTTTTATTTTAATTACAGAGGAAGGATAATTTTAATGTTCTTTGAGTCAGGTCTACAGCTATAATATAATAAAAATATATTAGCCTCTCCTCCAAAATAGTTTGATTACATTACCTATTCGCCATATATATTTTAGTTTTCAAATGAAATTAAATTAAAATATATAACATTTTAAACTAAAAGTATGAATGCACTTTTTTTTGTTACCTTATATTCTTTGGATGCCATTACTTTATATGTAACAATAAGTTGCTAAAGAAATAGCTTCATGTGAAATGAATAAATTCTTCTCATAACTGTCACTTATAACAAAAATAAAAATAAATAACCTAAAAGCATGAAATTCAGAAATATAAACAGGAATAAATCAATGTTTACCTTTCTGTTAACCTAAGATATTTTTTCTAAGAACTTAAGATTTCAATATATAAACTAGATCTGGGTTATTTGTGGCCGTATCGATTTAAGCTCCGAACACAATATCCAAGATAAAATGTATTGCAAATGTGATTATTTTATTGGTAACTATGGAGTAAAATTCTTCTGTATATATGTTTTGAATTTTATTTATTTTTTATTTTTATCCTGACTAGATAGAACCCAAAATATCCAACTCTGTTGTTCTCTAATGTACATCAAAATGATAAATTTATGAATGTTTTATATCACTTCAGCATTCCAACCCTAAAAATAACATTTCATTTACTTTTTTGTCCTATGTAATAATGCTTGGAGATAAGCTTTTTATTGACCTTTAGATAACTTTGACTTTTTCAAAGCACTTTTCAACTGATAATTTCAGAGTCGAGCTTTCTGGTAGAGGGCTCTGGAGCTAGGTCACACAATTATGTGACACAGTAATCTGTGCCTCAGTGTATGAATTTATGATTTCTCTGACTATATTGCATAGATCAAAAGAAGGTAAAAACCATGAAAAATACCCCAAAAATCCAAAGTAGTAATTGTAGTTGTATAAAGCAACAATAAATATAGTGGCTGACTTTGAACCATCTGTTCAGAAAGCTTAAGAACCTTTGTTTATCCCAATATTTGCAAGTAACATAGCTGTAGGCATTTTACAATCCATTTCTTGCAATGACCTTGTGACTTACCTGAGATCCAGCAGGGAGTATTGGAGCAATAGAATCAAACAGATCAGGTTCTACCACTCAGTGTCCACATGATTATGTCTCCTAAACTTCAATTTCCTTATCTGAAAAAGGGGAATAGTAACTAATTTGAAGGGTTCTGATGAAGATCAAAATGAGGTAAAACGTCTGTTAAATATGTCCTGTGATTATTTGGTCACGCACACTTTTGATAGTTAAATGCGCCTGCTGAAGAAGGTCGAAGTGGGTGAGGGTTGACAACCCCCCAGTGAAATTGCTTTTGCTAGTTACGTTAAAAGTAAGTCTTAAAGCAAAATCTGCTACATATTTAGTCACATGTTAGCAAGCACTTATTAGCAAGAAGGCAGTAATCAACTCATACAACCACTTCTATAAATTTGATTAAATCCCAGTTCTATGTCCATTCAGGTGTTCCAATCACAACCTTGGGGAAAAAGGTTCACTTGAGGCAGATGAGTCAGCATTCCAGGGCCAAGATTTTGTTACCCACATATTCAGCATCAAACAACCCAAAATTCTATTAAACTGATGGTTGGAAGTAGGATGGTTTAGTGAACCAACTTTGGCCACTGATCCTATGGTTCAGGCAATGAGTCTCCCTAAGATTTTTATACCCTGTTCACACAAAAATGGGGATTGTCTCCGATAGATTTTAGTATTCCACATATATTTAAAACCTATAATTTTACCAATGACGATCCATTTATAATATCATGCTAGTTATTAGGCCAATAATTTCACCAAAGAAAATCAGTTTCTGACATATTTTTGCCTATAAGCAAAGTGTTATTTGTTCATTGAACTAGGTATAAAAAATGCCATAATTCAGACCACTTCTAGAGTGTTGCCTTTCTGACATAACACTGGCTGACCACCCTAGACTGATTTATTAAGTTCCTATAATCGGAGCTTAAAATATTGCACATTTATATAATCAAAAGTATTTTAAAATGTTTAAAAGTAAGTTATATACATTGTAACAGTGCCTAATATTTAACAAGTGTTCATGAAAAGGAAGTCTTCTGTAAATGAGAAACTTTATGACCTAGTTCGTAGTTACACAAAGAGTGGTTAATTCAATTCTGTCAGGCAGGTAGCAGTACTTAATGAAAAAAATTATTCTGTAATGGAAGGGCCAAAAAAAGAAAACATTAGCAAATGATTGAATGATTTCTATTTCTACTTTGAAATAAGTTACCATTTGCGGAGATTAATATGGAAGATTTTCAGAACATGCCATTCTAAACTGAGAACAAATTTTGGAAGGAAATGATTTGGAGGGCTGAAGCAAATCTTAACTACTTCAGTATTATTCTGGTGAAAATTTCCAACTGTCCTGCTTAAAAAGTAGAAATTATTCCATGGACCTTTAAACATCTGAAAAGACCTCTGAAATGATATCTCGATTATCTTTGTTTACTTGTTTGTTTGTTTTTATGTCCTGCCTGCATTTAGAAAAGACATGTTATGATGTCTGGTAAAAAATAAAATATGTCAATACAGAACTGTTAACAAGGACTGTTTAGCTAATAAAGTGGGATGGCAAGGGGGAAAATCAATAAATAGAAATAAAGAAAAAATACTGCAATAGATTATTTTCTCTTAGCTTCTTAGAAGTCAAAACAGAAGGAAACTCAAACCAGCTCAGCTATCGTTGGGAAATATTTTTTTTTTTTTTCCTATCCCTGGGCTCCAAGAGAAATTTCCCATGGGATTTTTACAAATGAGACATTGAATCACCTAACACAATTTTATAGAAAATACAGAGGCCTTTTGTGTATGGCTACTTCTTATGTCAACCCTCAGCAAAAACTTAACAGCCAAATGCTGAATTAAAATTCAACGTTAATAGGAGGTCAAAATGTAAGGGTTGGAATTTATAGCTTTCTAATGATCTCCTTCTCACCCTTTTATGTTCAAGTGTTTTCTTAGCAATTTTGAGAAAGGATTAAAGGACTTTTTATAAAGGTTGCAGCCAGTGTGGAGCCAGCAGGGACAGTAAATATGTTTAGTGATAGAGTCAGGCTATAAAAAAACCTCAATAGAGTGGTACAATAGGCCTAATTTAATAAGAATCTGCATGAAGTCCTGCTTCTGTGCCCAGAAAACTAGCCACATACGTGCAGAATAAAGAGGAATGGCTAAAAATCAAAGCCTAGGGGTAAAAAAAAAAAGCCTGGGGGATTTCAGTTAATTTCAAGAGGAATTTAAGGCAAGTGGGGTGGGGGGGACACTATAAAAAAACCTCAATAGAGTGGTACAATAGGCCTAATTTAATAAGAATCTGCATGAAGTCCTGCTTCTATGCCCAGAAAACTAGCCACATACGTGCAGAATAAAGAGGAATGGCTAAAAATCAAAGCCTGGGGGATTTCAGTTAATTTCAAGAGGAATTTAAGGCAAGTGGGGTGGGGGGGACACATTAATGTGATTGCAGAGGCACTGATACAAATGTCTTGTACAGAACATGGAAAGAGACTGGTGCAGCTCTTGAGTATGCTGTTCGGCTCACACTCTGTTGTGCTCTGATCCTCGTTCCATCCTTGCAAATAACAATAAATTCATCCAGAGATGAGCAGCTTGTAAATGAAGAACATGTTAAAGAAGGACTTGAGTTTTCTAGGGCAGAGAAGAGAAAACTTAGGGCAACGATGACTGTCTTCAGTCATCCTCCATCGTGAGACGCCCAGATGGCAGAAACAAGACCAAAGTCACAGGGAAGGCAGATTTCAGTTTGTTATAATTAGGAACTTTTAAATACTCAGAGCTCTCTTGACAGAGAAAGATGAAATTGTAAGGCAGTATGTGCCCATCATTTGAAGTTTTCGTCAGAGATTAGAAGACTGCCTGACAAGAGTACTTTAAAATATGTGTACCACATAGAGCATTAGAACAGTTAGCCACAGGGTCACTTCTAACTCTGTGACTCTGTGATTCTGTCTTTGAATGGGATTTTGCTGAAACTGCTATATACTTCATTACCCCTCCCCACCACGCGCACACACACTCTGCCTTATACACTGAGGCAGATAAGTAGGCTTTTCTGTGTGTGCTATTCATGAGATATTTTTTTCCAAATGGAAAGAGGAGAAATCTAATATACTTTTTATTTAGTTAGGTGTTTACAGTTTATTAACAATATTTACATGGGGCAATAGGTCAAATGTGTCCCCCAAAAGTTCATGTATTGGAAACTTGATCACCATTGTAACAGTGTTAAGAGCGCAGGAAATCCAATTATGGTATTTTAAAGGTGGGGTTTTTAAGGTGTAATTAGATTGGGAGGACTGTGCCCTTGTGCATGGAGTAACAGGTGTGGTTCTGATGGCTTTAAAAGGAGAGCAAGTGAACAGATTAGCTCTCTTGCTCAGGCCATTCTCTCTCCATGTGATACCCTGGTTGTCAAGGAATCCTGTAGAGAGTTCATACCCAGAAGGCCCTCACCAGATGTGTCCCCTGACCCTCACAGAGGTGCACCCTGGACTTCT